TAGAGGCCGTACGCTTCTTGAAGGGCTTAGCGCCTTCGGCTTTCGAGACCTTAGCACGCGCAAGACCCTCGGCAAGCGAGAGACATTGGCGAGAATCTCTTCCTCATCGCTGTCGGCTTTGGGAACGCCCTTAGCCTTGACGGCCGGACTCTCAGAGCGCACATACGTTCTGGGACTGTGATCACCTTGATCACTAGCGAGCGACTGCACGCTGTCATCCTTGTGCTCACTGGGCACTGGGATGTGCCCTCCCCACAGAGCCGCAGGAGCATCGTGTGTGCTCTCGGACTCGGCATCGTCCTCACTGCCAGAGTTGAACTCACGTTCCACGAGGGTTCGGACGATTGTCTGAGGCCAAGGGCGACGGACTGCGGCGCTTGCTTGTTCGCTTGCCCACAGCCGCGTCACCCGAGGATCCGATCGCCTTGGAGGCCACCTGAGTAGCTTCTTTGAGTGCCGAGCCTTTGCCGTGAGGCTTAGTGCTCTTGGCTTGCGCCTTACCGGCCGCAGCCTTGGAGCGTGTCTTAGCACCGGTCTTTGCAGTGCCACAATTACTGACTCGCAAAGAAGAATTGAATATTTTCTTACCCTAGGAACAATGCACGCTCCAAAATACAAGCATTGCTTCGTGGGACCTTCATGCCCTCAAAGACCCCACGACGCTTTGCATCAGCTTCAGTTATCTCACTTGCCTGTTGGAGATCCAACGAGTTCTTGAGGAGCTGATCATCTTGGTCACACCAAAGCGTCCCTGGAGCGCCCCCGTTTAAGAAAGCAACAGTGTTTTTGCGCACCCACTGTAAAAGTACAGTGCGTGCGCCACCGCCAGCTTGTCATGACCGGTACCGCGGCAGATTCGTGAAACTACGCCGTACGCCTCTGCGTCGCAGGTGATCGCTACCAGATCGACGCAATCATCGACACCAGAATCACCTTCTATATCCGATTCGGAATCAATTTCCTGTACCACCTCGTTGCCCGGGGGCATTGTTGCGCGGAGTACAACCTAGAAAATTGCAGCCATTATTAAATATAAATTATTCCGCTGTTATTATTTTGATATATATCTGAAGGTACATATGCGTATACAATTCTTACCGCGGCGTCTGCCATGCGCTTCTCGCGTTGGTCCGGAGTGAGCCCTCTCAGATTTTTCGTGTAGTGCGAGTCCATGCTGACCGCCGAATGGCTTGTCACGTTATTGGCGGCTGCAA